CTCTCTCTCTCTCTCTCTCTCTCTCTCTCTCTCTCTCTCTCTCTCTCTCTCTGTGTGTGTGTGTGTGTGTGTGTGTGTGCTAAGTTCCACTTATTTACTGTCCTCCTCGAGCGGGCTGTCAGATTTACAAGCAAGTGATAGAGCAGACCTGATTGTGTTTCTCAGCTGGAGCTCACTCTTCTTATCGGGCTCTCTTGTTGTGTTAGTCGGGACCTGTGCTTCTGCTCCACATCCCTCTCTCCAAAGTTCTGTGAGGTTCTGGTCCTGTGCTCTTTCCTCTCGTGTTCCCCTTGTCTCTTGAATCTCCTGTCCATTTGCTAATCTCGCGTTTCAGTTTCCACTAGCTCCATTATAAGGTAGAGTAGCTCTCTATTGGGGACCTTGTTTGGGTTGAAAGATGATCTGGTACTGCTTCTTTCATTTTGTCCGCATTGTAGCTTTACATGTCAGCTCTCAAAGAGCTGTTCCTGAAATTTCCGGAAATGAAATGCGATTTATGGAGTCCATGTGAGTATTCGCTCTAATATGGTTGTTTCAAAGGTTGTGTGTGTATTTCTGGCCTAGATCTCTTTGACCGACTTTTCCATCATCCACAAGCTTGGAGGGAGGAGGTTAGGAAACAGTGGGTGGTCCTTCTCCTATCTCTGCTCCCCCCAACCATTCGATTTCATTCCGCGCGGCGGTTCTCCTGAACCATTCAATTCCGCGTGTTTTTTCGTCGTCGATGCACGGTATCTGTTCCCATGTGCAGTGTTCCAGTATGATGGCTGATGAACCGCGGTCACTGAGTGTGCATTGTTCTAGTATTCACTGTGAGAGTAAAGACTAGTACGAGTTTGCGCCATCAGATGAGTACTCTCCTGCGCATTACTGTGTCGTTGTCTTGTCCTAGCGACAGTGCAGTCAGTATCCGAACTTGGTGGTGCATTCTGATAAGGTCTAATCCCTGTCTCGTCCTAGCTACCGTCTTCACGCGAATAGAATGGCCGGTCATGATAGCTGCGTCTGGAGAGAAAGGTGCCGCAGAGAGCGCCAACATGACAGGCCTCACCACATGAAGATTCTAGCAGCATTTCCGAGATAACAACTCAGAACCGCACACCAGTTAATTCCAACACGGGTCAGCAAAGGTTTAATTAAAACATGGTTTAATTAACAAGGGTTACTGAGTAGGTGAAGGTTGGGGGTGAAGAGACTGTGAACGGCAGCCGGAGGCAACAGGGGTGAGTGTGTCAGAGTTGCGGGCAGCAGCAGCAGTTAGAAAGGGGTGTGCAACATAGATCGTGTGATTGCAAGACCTTCTTCATGAATTGTGCATCCTTGATGAGCAAAATGAGGAACGCCGTCCTTCGGGACGGCTGGTAAAGAGTTGGCACGATACAGAGAAAGGAAGATTAGCATGGCCCCTGCGCAAGGAAGGCGTGCATAAATCGCAAAACAGGAAATAGAACATCTCTTGTGGGGACAGTAGGGTTTAGGGTTTAAGGAGCGGGGTAGCTTATGCGCGTCAGGACTCGGCTGCCTTCCTCGATGGCAAGAAGATGCCCCACGTAGTGGAAGCTAAAGCCCCTTTCTTTTGGCGATTTGCAGCAGTGTTTGTCCAGTTTCTATTTTCTCTTTCTTTTGCGAATTGCAGCTGCATTGTTAGGCTAGTTCCCTCATGTGGCCAGGATAAGTAGGCTGGGAGTTTGAAGCAGGGGACACTGGATTACTCCGGGTTGAGATGTGGAAGCATTCCCGGCCTCCTTTTGCTCTTATAATAAAGTACAGTGTTGCCTAAAAGGGGAAAAAAAAAAAAAAAAAAAAAAAAAAAGCATCTCTTCAATCTCTTGTGGGTGCAAAAAATGCAAGTGCTCCCCCTTTCCTAAGTTGTGTCTTTTTTTTTTTTTTTCCAAACTTGTTACTGTGCTTTCCCCACATGCGGCATCCAATCGTCACTCGTGGCATCAACTAAGTACAGCCATGGTTGGTTCATCAATGCTGAGCATTGCTGACCCATGGATGGATGATGATACCTAAGGAGTGCTTTCCAGAGATATGCAGCTACCAACTGACTACCGGGGTCACCGAAACAGAGCACCTGATCATTATCGTTGTATGTAGACTGCAAGTTG